GATAGATAGATAGATAGATAGATAGATAGATAGATATACTTGTTCCTTCTGGGAATAGAATTTTGTAAACTAATGTCCAGTTCTCCATTGTCTGGAGCAGTGCCGAGACAGTGACATCCTGTGGTGAGTTTGGATGTTGCTCCTGAGTGTATCAAGGGCTGCATCTAAAGGCAGCTTCACTGACCCATCTTTGTATCTGTGCAAAACGTTTCTGGTGAGAGATTTTTCTTCAGGAAGTCTGTGGTGCTGGGGGTTTGCCTTTGTAGTAGGGTACATGTATAACCTAGTCAAGGCTGTAGTTTTAATGACCAACACCAAAGAAGACTGAAAAGGCTTTAAACAAAAAGTTTATCATGCTCAGATACTCAACATTGTTCTCTTGAGAACTTTCAACAGAAAGTGGTAGGTGTAATTCAGTAGTCCTCAGTTATTTTAAACTGACACTATTTGTGGTGCTCAGGCTGCTGAGAACATGGTTCTGGCCACTTTGAACCCCGAGTGATAAGCATAGGTAGGACTGTCATCGATATACAGATGGCTAAACTGGGCTTTTTTATACCCTCACTGGAGAGAAGTGTATGTACAGAGAACCTGCAGGTAGCTGGATAGACCATTTAAGGTGGACCAGTAGCTGGACCTTGGTACCTGCAAAGTACTTGTTGTCCTTTGTTATAGTATGACTATAGTATAGTATAGTGAGTCACAGTCTTTATTGTTGTCTCGTGGGCCTGGTGAAGGCTGGAGTAAGACAGCCTCAGTGTATTTGGCCCTGTGGAGCCAATACATGTATCATGCTATATGCCACATACCACAGGTCATTTCCTTCATAGAGGGATACAAAAATTCATAGGATCAAAACCTGGTCTTTAGGATATGGACCTAAGTATAGGAGGCCTTTGATAAATTACTTTTATGTGTTTGTAGTTTTTTTATTTCTGGTGGTGTCCATATGAAAGGATAGAATGGGCCCTACTTTATTTATAAACCAAACCTTTGTCTGCATTTGGAGGTAAAAAGGTCTTTGATTGGTCCTGGAAAGTGATGTTTCAGGTGTTCTCTGACCACTTGTGACTCCTCTGTTGCAGCCCCCCATGGGCGAGGAAGGCAACCACAAACGACACCCAGTGGTAGCAGGAGGCGGCGGTGAGGGCAGGAAGCGGTGCCCTTCCCAGTCTTCCAGCAGGCCTGCCACTGGGATCAACCAATCCCCTACGACACCTACTGGCCAGGCCACTCGAGAAGATGCCAAATGGACAAGCCAGCACTTGGACACACTGACTTTGGGAAAGTGAATGCCCAGAAGCCCCCTGGGGTTTGGGATAGAAGGGGTGGGGTGGGCAAGGATCCATGGGGGTACCCAGTCCCAGGAGAGTAAGTAGAGAAGGGACAGGCCTAGAGTTACTAAAGATGGGCCTTTGCGCTAAGTAGCAGTGTACACCATTTGGGCTATTAGCGGTGCCCCTGGGCAGAAGCCTCCAAGTACCCCCTTCCCCTCCTGTCTCCATGACTTCCATCTTAACTTCTAAGGGGGGGAGGGGAAGGGGGGAGATTTTTATATATATATATATACATATATATATATCAAGTTTTAAATTATTGATAGTTTGTCTGGATTACCAAAATCACTCTTCAGCCCTTCCTGTGGCTGTTAGGCCAACCTGTCTCCCTGCCTCTTCCTGTTCCCCTCAAGCCAACTATGCAGCCCACCAGAAGGCTCTGGCGGTGCCCATGGGCCCCAGAAGCACCAGCCCCTCAATCATCTGGGGTTTGCCATCACCGTGTCCCTGCTGTTCCACATGCCCTTCTGCCACCTCTGGGGGAAGGAAACCAAAGGATCTCAGTGGGGGTTGGGGAGCTTCAGCCTCTCCCCCATCTCCCCAGCCCAGAGACGCTGCTCACACCAGAAGAGACTATTGAAAGATGATTCATTTTATTTTTTTCTCTGATCTTTCCATTCTTGGGAAAACAGAAAAAAAGAAAAAGGAAAAAAAAAAAAAAAAGAAGAAGAAAGAAAAAAAAGACAAAATCGACCACTAAAAAAAAAAAAAAGTCAAAAAAATCAGAACCCACCTAATCCATAGAAAGTGCTGTCTTTCCCCCTCCTTGGAATTTTTCTTCTGTTCTGTTTTTGGAAATAATATTTTTTTAAAAGTTGCCTTATTGTGGAGCGGGAACCTGAACTAATGCCCAAATGCCTGTTTTCCTCCTGAAGAGCTCCCCCTGCCTGGGATGGCCCTGGGCTTGGACTGACTAGAAGTTTCCTCGGGACTGAGTTGCATGTACAGGGCCTCCCACCTGGAGGCAAGAGAGTTGGGGGCAGTTCTATCAGAGCTGTGCCCAGGACACCCCTGCTGTTGCATCGTCTGAAGCTGATGTCCTGCGTCTGCACACTGCTGCCACTGTCTTTGTTCTGCTTGCTGTCGCCTCACCAGGCCCATCCTTACCCTGCCCTCGGAACCCCAAGGCCAAGTTTGCTTCAGACTGTTGTAAACAGAGTTGGTCTTGTCTGGTACACACTCAGCCTGCGCGTCTCCCCAACCCCAGAACAAGGGGTGAACACCCACTGATGGCCACAGCTTAGATCTGTGTCTGACCTTAAAGACCTTTGACCTCAAGGAGGTTTGTATCACAAGGTGGAAAAAGGTGCCATTCTCCAAGGGTCTGGTGTGGTCTTCCCATCTTAATACCCTCACCCCCTGCAAGCCATCTCTGCCCATCCTCTCACTGATCCTGCCTGGGATCAAGGGTGAGAGGAAGCAAGGGCTGGGGGATCCTGCCATTTGGTGAAGCCCCGTGGCAGGAAGGTATATGTGGACATAGAGTATACCTGACTTCTCTTCTTTAAGCTGGAGGCTGCTGTCATTAGGAGCTGGGAGGGTGATAAAGGACTGAGCACATAGGCTGGGGAGACTGCATGCCCACCCCACACTGGGACCTGGACAGCATAAGGCAGGTGTGGTCTTTTTGCTCAGTTGCTGAAACTTGTGTGGCCCTCCTCATCACTGAGTTCCTCTGTTGTCCCAAAGGCGGGGGACTAGGACATAGCATCCCAGGCTGGCAAGAGCTTACCTTCTGTCTTTGGGTACCTTGTTGCTTTTAGCTCGTGCCCTGTCCCACTCTGCCTTCCCGGTGCTTAGTATGTGGGAATCTTGTGTCAGTTCCTGTGACTCAGTTGTCTCAAATGATATGGGAATAGGGTCTGCTGGTGGGATTTGAGGCCCTCTCCTAAGTCTGGTACCTGCCCCAGGCATGGTGCACCTTCACCAAATAGTGGGCTCCCTTCTCCTTTCCCCTTTCCTCGCTTTGCCCTATACTGTATATCTAGCACCACAGAACCTCAGGGCTTTGAGGCTCCGGTGTGGGGGAAGGTGGTTCCCATCTAGACTATCCAGGCTAGGTTTGCCATCCTCTCCTGGACCCTCCCAGGCCCACTGAGGGAAGAGGCCCCTTTGGGGTGAGAAGGCAAGGCTATCATCTCAACACAGGCTGAGGAGGGGTGGGAATGTGTGTGTGTGTGTGTGTGTATGTGTGTTTTGTTTGTATTTTTTGTGACATGTTAGGAGTTGACGTTGCAGAGTAGTTTACATCTTCACCTTCTGAAGACACTTGAATTTAGGACCGATGTATCTGTGACAAGTATGCCAGGAGTGGCAGGGGCCACCAGAGCAAGCCACTTCCCTATCACCATCTTCCCACGGGATCCAAGACCTGAGACAGCCTGCCAAATGGAACCGCCTTCATCCTCTGCCTGTGCAGGGTTGGGCATCTGCCTGGGCCCAACAAGAAGCAGAATGTGTTTTGCCCTCTGAGCCTCAGAGCAAATTTGCTACTTCAAGAGAAGGCTGCCTGGCCCTGCTTCAGCCTGGACCCCAGGTTCAGACAGAGGTGCTGAGCCCCATGTCAAGTTGTTAAATGTTTCTGTTCTGTAGCTCTTTCCCACTCCTTTTTGGTTACATTTACAAAAGAAAGCAAGCTGCTTGGAAGGTCTGGAAGTGAGAAAAAGGGCATGCAGACAAGGCTAACGGTGGAGAGTACTGGAGGCTTGGGTAACCTGGTCCCCCTGGATGGGACCCCAGAGTACCTCTCTTGCTAAAGGGCCCCTGGTTCTCCCCAGCTCCCACCCTCTCCTCCAGCCATGGTGATGGTAGAGGCAGAAGAGAACTCTCAGCCCAGTTCTCACAGGAAAGGAAAACTTGTCATGGGCTTTGCAGAGAAGGTTCCACCTTAACGCTCGTACATTGTCTTTACCATGTGCTAGGATATCACATTCAACAGGACAAAAAAAAATGTAAAATACTTGAATGAGCTTGTATCATAACATTAATATTATTGAGAGTGTCTGCTTCCCAGGCTGAAGTGATTCATTCATTATTCTGGTCCTGCTCTAGTCCTTTGTAATTGGTGGTAATTATTATGCTTTTCTTTTTAATACAAAAAAATGTATAAAAATAAAAACTTGAAAAGGCAAAAAACACTGGCTGCTCTCCCATCTAGGACACTGCTGTTGGGTGTGAGAGAGGAACTTGGTGTGTGTCCCCAGGTGGCAGAACCCACACTGCATGAGCATGATTACAGTACAGTCTCTTGGGAGGATGCTATTGGCTCCTGAGCATCTGCCTAAGGCAGGGCCTTTGGTGCTGCTAATGCCTCCAGGTGTTTGGCCAGCCTTGACCCTCATTGACCCTGCAAACTGAGAAGCTGGGAAAGGGTAGAATTGGGTTTCCATTGCTCAGGATATATGCAAGAATTCCTCATGCAGTGTTTACTGTCCTCTAAGACCTGCCGCTTTGCTAGTTTTTTTTACTGTTAGATGGGTGGATGATCACTGCTACCAGTGGCCTATATTCTTTCTGTAGGTTGCCAGGTGAGCCAGACCCACCTCAGTCACATTCGTTAAGAGTGGCTGTGTCAGTTGGCTCCTCAGTTACGTGTCCTTAGATCCCTAGTGTTTTGCAGTGGGGCGGGGAGGGGGGGGGGAAAGACGGACAACAACCACAATCTACAGAGTTAAAAGGAGGCTTTATTTACATGCTTCTTTGCCAGAGATACTAAAATATTATTTGCCAATATTAGGGCCGTACAGGGACAAGCCATGTACCCTTGACAGCACCTCACAGTGTCCATTTCCTGACTTCTTGTCCTGCCCCTTTTGATAATAATGCAGAGAGCATTTCTCGGCTGCCATCTTTCGATGATGCTGGGGTTGGGGAATGGGTTGGTGTTTGAAGGAATAGGAGGGCACAAGGTCAGAGGTGGTGGTACTCAGAGGAGGTACTCAGTTGCCAGCAAGCCCAGCCTTATGTGGACCTCAGTGCCATGGGATGAAGCCCTGTTCTGTAGTTGGTTCTGAAGAGCTGGTCTATCAGACCTTCAGGTTTCACTCTGTTGTAAAGGCTGGCTCTGAACTGAGCCTAAGTTCTGAGCAGCTGGTATTACAGTACAAACTACCCAGCTGTCTTATTTTACTTTATAATAGGAGTTTTCTTGATTGACCTTGACCTGAAAATATAAGATCATCACGGTTGTGCTGAAATTTGACAAATGGTGATGGTGGCAGCCTTCCAGAGCCAACTTTGATGCCAAGTTCTTGGGATCTTGGGGCTCCTAACCGCTGCCAGAGTAGGGGCCTGGCAAAACTTTACTGGAGAAACCCTACTGCTCTAGTATTCCCTGAGCCTGTTCACTATTGATTTACCATTTGAGGGAAGATGGACCTGCCCTTTGTCCATGTTTTCTAAAGCTCATGGTTGTGGGGAGAAGACTGTGATTTGGGTTTAGAGAGCAACTGACTTGGGTCTTCCCCAAGATGGGCAATCCTGGAGCTCAGCCCAAGTTTGCACACAGGCTAAAGCACAGGAGCTAGAGTGCACGTCAGTTGAGAAGCTCCAGTGGGCTGTCATTGTTCCTTCTGAGCGACTTGTATCTGTAGAGGGCGAAAGTAAACCATGCTTCCTTGGGTAGGAATCAGGAACCACATCTAGTATGTCAGCACATCTGACCTGTGTTGACACGATACCCTGGTTTGGGATGTGAGAAAAGTTTGTAACCAGGAAGCCTCCAGTGCCACTACGACCCCATTCTGTAGGCCACAAGGAAGCTGTATGGGGATTGGAACAGAGGACTAGAGAATTTACCCAGGCTCTGTGATTTTTTTTCTTTCCTGGCTGGCCTCCAGCCTAAATAGCTTGTTCATTTTCCCTAAGTAAATTCCTAGTCCTAAGTGACATGAGAAGTACTTTTGGGGAAACCCACATCCCATGATAGCCTTGTCCAGGCAGGAAGCCTGGCTTCCCTCCGTGGTAATGGTACAGTCCTTAGAGTATGGTGGCCAAAAGAGGCAAGCTGTTAAGGGTGGCATGGCCCCAGGCAGTCTCCACATCCTACTTGTGAGGGAACAGCCTGGATGGTCCAACTAGACTCTCTATTTTCTTTGGAGGATCAGGAATGCTCTCTGAAAGTGGGGTGAAGCCCAGCAGGATGACATGTCTCTCATAGGCCTTGGTCTGCTTAAACATGACGTCAGTCCCATGTAGGTGGTCCAGCACCCCCAGCACCCCATAGCACTGGTTGAACCTGAAGGAGAGAAGAGAATTGCCCAGCTAACGATGGTAGGAAGCTCTGGGTCTCCCCTTATTTCCCAGCCCTCCTTTCACCATGCTGCACAGCCATGCCAGACTATTCTATGCCTAGAATATTCTTTTGAAGGGTTCTGTTTGAGGATTGTTTAGAGTTTTTGTTACTGTTTAAGAAAGTCTCAGCAAACTGAACTGAAATTCAGTTGATGGCTTTGAACTCTGGCACTGCTTCTGCCTCAGTGTCTGTCGTGGTATTTTAAGTTGTGAGCTACGGTGTCTGATCACTTTTGAGCTGGAGGATTGAGCCCTGGGCCTTGCACATTAGGCAAGTGCCTGCCCTTTTTGTGCGGCATCCATGACTACGTGCACAGAGACCAGAGTGGGACATTAATGTCCTCCACTGCCAGCCAGCAAGCCCCAGCTAGCCCATTTCCTGTCCTCAAAGCTGGGGCTCTGGGTATGCACAAGGCGTTTATGTGGGTACTGAGATCTGTAGCTCCCGCTGGCCTGGAACTCTTCACTGCAGACCAGGTTAGACTTGCACTATGTCCACCTGTCTGCTGAGTCCTCGAATTAAAGGTCTGCTACCATGCCCAGCTTCAGCAACTACTGAGCCATCTCTCTAGGACCTACCTACCTACCCCTTTAATCTGATTTTGGTGTGCAGAAGTTACAATTTTGTACAGACCAACGCTTGTTCAGGTAGGTTCAGAGACTCCCTGCATCAGAACACCATGGAAGACATTAGGAGGCAGGCTCCCAGGCCGCACGCCACAGGTACGTCGACTGCTGGGTTTGGAATGGGACCCCAAAACCCCTGTACTAAGTGTATCTGGTGACCCAGAAAAAGGCCTGGGATGAGGCCATTTGTGATGTGGTGCCTTTAATTCCAGCACATGGGAGGCAAGGGCAGGCAGATCTAAGTGTGAGGCCAGCCTGGTTTACATACGAAGTTCCAGGGCAGCCAGGGCTACACAGGAACACTGTATCAAAACCAAGAATAAAAGTCCATGATGTTTAAGTGTGCCAAGTTTTCATGCACGAGGGTTCTGAGGAGACAATTCAAGGCTCACGAGATTCAACAGGGCCAGAGCCCAAATAATGGTTAAATTTTCTGACTGCAGGAAGGACCTGGTGTCAGAAAAAAAAGGAAAATCTCAAAGTAGCAACTTCCCTGACTGGTTCACACATAAGGATGGAGGCACCACTGTCCCATGAGACCCTTGAGCAAGGGTACTGTTCGCTTACTTGAGATGGTGGTAGTCATGGAACTCAGGTGAAGGCAGAAAGGGCAGGTGATAGCCACAGTGGGCGATGGTGGTGATGATGAGAGCCAGGGAAAACCACACAGTGATAGAGGACAAATGGGAGCCCATTGCTAGAGGACCCACCATAGCTGGTATCATGTTGGAAGCCTGCAAAAGAAAGGATGATTCCAGGAGATGGAGGCACCCAGCTGGGTGCTCACTCTGCCTTTCAGAGTTGTAACTTGGGACGCACTCAGCTTCGCCATCCTCTGCAGCAGAGTCAGGCTGTAGCAGGTTGCTGGGGAGAATAAGATACTGTACACTTAGGTACCTGACATAGCCAAGAGATCGCAGCTGTTCACTGGGAGGAGGAAACAAGGCAGGGGACCAGCAGCCTCCACTTCTGGGGCTTCAGAGGCTGTTACTTACCACGTGTTCTATAGGGTGGGCATAGATTGACGTCACACCAATGGGTGCTGTCCATTCATGATGTTTCTTGTGAATCTTGTACAACTTTGGGTGGTGAAGGAGCCTGGAAAGATCATTTCATAGTTGGTAACTGCCAGCTCCCACTTTCCCTCCATCCCAAGGAGACCATCAGAAAGCCAAGCTGGTAATGTGGTCCACATGTGAGGAGCAGGCATCTATTCCTTGCCCTCCTCTAGTCTGATTGTGGATGATAAGGTTGGTTTGTATTGCTTGCCAGCCCCAGGTAATGAAGTAAAACGAAAGGGAGGGCAGGAAATGGATCCATTCTTCCGTACAAGTAGGCCAGCTATTTCTTTGCTGGGCATTGTGTCAAGTTGGAGAATCGGTTGTCTCTGACGACAGTTCAGGGTCCTCTCCTGAGCCATCATCCCATGGTGAGGCCAGCTGTGCATGTAGGGAGCTCACCGGTGTGAGTAGTAGAACAAGATTTCCTCCACAAGGGTGAAAAGGGCCAGCTCCACAAGGAACCAGTGGAAGGTAGGCAGCTCTCGAGAGCAGGGGTCTCTCCTCCACTTGAAGAAAGGATAGACGACGACCAGCATGGGCAGAGAGATCATGGTCTGGTTGAAAAAAACTGTGTGGATAGCCTGACGTAGCTTCGCGGGGTCTACCTGCCAGAGGACAGAGGAATAGGGAGAGTGGGAGCGTGACAAGTAGGGCTCTACCTGACCTGCTCAGGGTGGGCTTCTGGGAGTGACTGGGTAGTCCACAGTCTGGGGCTGGCCGTGGTGAGCAGTACAGGCTTGTGCTGTCCTTGGCAGTGTCCCACCAGAGCATAGGCTCTGTGGGCTGCGACTGTCACTGCCGAGTTCTGACCCACAAAACACCCAGTGTTCTACAGGGACAAAGAAATACCAGTTAAACACAGAAATGGATAAGCAGTGACAATTCACTCAACCATCTTGATGAAGGATTCTGGAAGAGGTTTTAGTGATCTGAGAGCAGGCTGGCTTGCCCTAGCCTCACACAGAGAACAAAGAATCTGCCTGGATGGGAGGCCAGCATGGGCAGGTCCCCAGACCTCCCTCAGCTCCCTCTGCTTGGGGCCAATCCAGTGAGGCTGAACAGATGAGAAACTTGTTCCAGGAGGAAAGGCTAAATGGTGGCTTAGTTGTCAGCCTTAGAGCTGGCAGCCTCCACCCAGTGCCCCTGTGGCTACAGGATACCTGCTGGGAATATACAGCCTGAGAATTAGGCCACTGGTGCAGTCTACAGAAACAGGAAGGAGGCAGCAGCCTTACAGGAAAGAGACGAGAAACAACAGCAGTCCTCCAACGTCTCATACTTGGAACAGTTCAGGAACAAGTTATAGATTGTAAAGTATTTAAATATTAATCTGAAATGCTATGTAGATGAGTCTCATATATTTGTCCTACATTTCTGTCTGCCTGTCTGCTTAAAACTTCTTAGCTATTAAATGCTTGGAAAAAGACAGCCAGGAGGAAGAACAGAGACCGTATAAACAACTCTGAGAGACTGTATAGATAGCTCTGTCAGAGAGCTTTGCCTCAAGGGCGAATGTAACAGCTGGTAGTGTGTACTTGTGTTAAGTAGGGCCAAGGTTTGGTTTTGGTTTTTGAAACAGTCTTGGGGGCTGGAGAGATGACTCAGTGGTTAAGAGCACTGACTGTTTTTCCAGAGGACAGAGCTTGATTCCCATCATGCATATGGCAGCTCACAACTGTCAATCCAGCATCCTCTTCTGGGTACTACTGCATATATGTTGTACATAGACACACATGCAGGCAAAACACCCATGCATACAAAATAAAGGAAAAAATTGAAATAGTGTCATGTAGCCCTTCTGAACAATCCTCCTGTCTCCCTTTCAAATGCTTGGGATTCCAGATGTGTGCCACCACAGCCAGTGTAGGTTTGTGTTCTTTTTTTGTTTTGTTTTGTTTTTTTGTAGAGATGGAAAAATTAAAGCATTTATGTGATAATTCAAAGAGAAACAAGCTGGGTTGAGAGAAAGACAAGGATGTAAGAAAGAGGAAAGAATGCCAAAGCCATTTCCTGGAGCAAAAAGGACAGGAGCCAGGAGGGGCGGCAGTCACAGCCCTGGACAGAGCAAGTGACCCAGAGCTGTGAGAGCTGGCTGTGGGGCCTGCTTTCATTTCCCAGGTGTGGGAGAGGCCAGGTTAGGAAGGAGGTGTTCAGAGAGGAGAGGTGTGCCTAAGCCAGGAGGAGGTGGGAGAGTGACTGTGTGGGCAGGCTGGGATCCAAGGAATGCCGGATCCTGCTGCAGTCAGCACCTACAACTAGCCAGGATGACATGGTCCCAAGGTCCTTCCTGTGGCTTCAGACAGTGCTCTGGAACTGAAAATCCCCAGGGTGGGGCTGAGACATGGCTTGGTGGGTAGAGTGCCTTCTAGGTATCCTGGGAGTCCTGGGTGTGATCCTTAACAGCATAACCCTGTGGTGGGAGAAGGAAGATCAGAAGTTCAAGGGCATCCTCAGCTACATAGCAAGTTGCAGGCTAGCCTGGACTACATGAGATCCTGTTCAGGGTGGGAGAGGAGAAGAAAGAAGAGGTTCTAGTCTATCTAGTGTCCTGCCTCTGAACCATGACAGTCATCACGAAGATGATTAGCCTTGAACATGAAAGCACTAAGCCAAAAGGTCTTACAGGCCAAATAGTAACACAAAGGCTTCCAAGTCTGTTCTTCCAGGGTGGGCTGAACCCCCCAATGCTGGTAGCTGTCATCTCAGGAGAAGACCATTTCAGAGAACTCCATCAGGACTTTTTCCCCCATCTTGCCTTTGGTGCCAGGCTGGGCAGACTGCCCTGGGAGCGGAGGTGACTCATGCAGGAAGGCACCTGAGCAGTCTGAGAGCTGATTGTCTGGACAGGGTTTGGGTGGGACCGTGGAACAGCTTGTTTTCAGAAGCAGCCTCTGCCCTGTTGTGTAAGGGAAGGTTGTCTCTGCAGGTTTTCAGGGCACAAGGAAGGCCAGCGCAGTGCTCAACCCCCACAGTGAGCAAGCAGGGCGGCTTAGAAGCCAGGGTGGTGTTCCCGCCTCGCCGCCATGCTTGCCTGACAGCTCACACTGGCTGCATTGGATGATGAAAGAGACTCCCCCTTTAATCTTAGCACCTGGGAGGCAGAGGCAGGTTGGTCTCTGGCCATGGAGGTCCAGGATGGCCAAAGCTACACAGAGAGACCCTGTCTCAAAATAAATAAATTAAAAAAATAAATTTCTGAAAATAACTACCACATACATCCAGAGTCTGAGCTACCATCTGCTGCAGTTGGGGTTGCCTCCCTTGAGACAGTGATGTCTGCCGTCAGATCCATGTCTCAGCGCCATGGTTAAAATGCTGCTGCTGTCTCAGGCTGAGGCAGTTGTTTCTCTTCCTCGTATGTTGAGCACAGTGTCATGGGGCAGCCTGGGGTTGGACTCAGGAGACCAGCACTTTGGTCTAGACTGGCCACTGGCTAAGTAGCCTTTTAATTTCTTTTTTACTTTATTTATTTTTTATTCAGAGAGAGAGAGAGAGAGAGAGAGAGAGAGAGAGAGTGTGTGTGTGTGTGTGTGTGTGTGTGTGTGTGTGTGTAGGTGCCTTTGTGCCCAGGTGTGCATCTGGAGGTCAGAGTAAATGGAGTCGGTTCTCTTCTTCCCCTGTGTGGGTTCCAGGGATCAGACTCGGGTCTTCAGGCTTGCTGAACCAACTTACTGATGGGGTCTCATGTAGCCTAAGCTACTTTCCTATTTCCTGCGTAGCCAAGGATGACCTTGAACTTCTACCCCTCCAGCCTCCACTTCCCGAGTGCTTGGATTATAGCTGTGCACTCCCACTTGTGCCTTGGGGATGGAATCGAGGGCTTCGGGCTAGACAACCACTCTACCACCCTACCGACCGAGTGCCCCTCCCCCCCAGCTCCTGCTCTCTAACCCTCTGAATGCAGGGCAGCTCAAAGAAAAGTCTTTGACTCGCCCTGACTTTGGTACCCACATCCCCGGCACTGACAGTCGCAATGACACTTACAGGTTCATTCTTCCCAAGTTGGATGCGGTAGCGGGAGATGAAGGTGGGTTTTCCTGTTGTGTCCACCAGCAGCAGAAGGCCGTTGAAACCCCAGAAGCACAGCACAGGCATGAGGGCAGCACCTGAGGCGGAGAGCAGAGAGACTCAGGGCATCCCAGCCACCTCGGGGGCTCACTCGGCGGCGAGTGTGCCCGGATCTATCGCCTGCCTGGCGACTCACTGCTCATGTCATGGAACCTGAACAAGTGTATTTTTCCTGTCTTTGTCCCCCTTCCACCATGTGTGTTCGTGCGTGCGTGCCTGTGTGCGTGTTTGCGTGTATGTGCATATGTGTGCGTGTGTGTGTGTGTGTGTGTGTGTGTGTGTGTGTGTGTGTTTGAGACAGGCTCTCACTGTTTTGTCCTGGCTGGCTATGTAGACCAGGCTGCCTTGCACTCACAATAAATTGTCCCCTGCTTCTCTGCCTCTCAAATGCTAGGATTAAAAGTGTGCACCACCACACCTGGGTTTTTGGATGTTTTGTTTTTCTTTATTACTTGTTTTGAGACAGGCTCTCATTCTATACAAGGCAGGTTTGAAACTCACTGGATAGTCCAGACAGACCCCCAAACTCACAGCGATCCCCCTGCTTCAGCCACCTCTGGGATAACAGGTGTTGCTGCTGTACCCTCTCAGCACAGGCACTGATGATGCCTCCCTTTCCCCTCACATGTTCCTGTTTGGATGATGAAGCCACGTGACCACCTGGTCTATTACTCCCCAGTGCTGACGAGCCACTGGTCAAAGGCAGGAGGCTCAGAAGTTCCATGGCCATCCTCAGCCACCTAGCCCATTCTTGGACATCCTGGGATACATGAAAGCCTGTGCCTAGAAGAAGAAAACTAGAGCCTAAAGGACAGCTTACTAGGTAAAGCTCTTACTAGATAAGCCTGATGACCCGAGGGTCACCCCTCAAACCACGGAGAGTGCACAGAGCCGTCACTGATCCACCCACATAATGTGGCACACGTATGTCCATGCCCACATCACAACAACCAATAAAAATTAAAAAGGAAATCCTGACCAAAACACACTTCATCTAGCTTTTTGTTTCACGCCCCACTTCTCATGTCTTTAATCTCCTACCTATGGCAGCCATCCAAGGGACACAGCTGTGTTATCTGACTTCACTGTGGCCTCTTACTAGATTGTAAACCCTGAGAAACAAGGACACTGTTTCACTGACCTCTGTCTTTGTACCCTTCTAGTCTTTTCCTGCCCCATCAAACAGTGTCTGGGGTAGAAGGGACACAGGAAGGACTTGGCAAGTGTGGGAAGACCACTGGGAGCCCCATTCTGCAGGACAGTTGGACAGACTCTGACGTGAAAAAGGAGACAAAGCAAGTGCACCTAGGTTTGTGCCTAGAAATGCTGATACAACATCTGTAAAAATAATAAAAGCTGGGCAGTGGTGGCGCACGCCTGAGATCACAGCGCTTGGGAGGCAGAGGCAGGCAAATCTTTAAGTTTGAAGTCAGCCTAGTCTACAGAGTGAGTTTCAGGACAGCAGGGGCTACACAGAGAAACCTTGGTCTCAATCAATCAATCAAAATACGTGAGAAATAATACAACACAAATAAAAATCATGAGAAAACCTGAAGTTGAGAGAGAGAGAGCTCCCTCAGTGGTTAAGAGCACTGGCTGCTCTTCCAGAGAACTGGGGCTTGCTTTTCAGTCCCCACGTGGTGGCTCACAAATATTTGTAACTCCAGTTCCAGGGAAACCAATACCTCTGACCTCTCAGCTCCTGTATGAACACGGTACATGGGCACACACTCAGGCACACATGTAACCATAGAGCAAGCAAACAGTATTTTTTTTTTTAATCACAAGGAAACACCCAGAGCAGCCTAAACATCTGTTTGTAGGAGAACAGACTGGCAAACTGAAATATTAAGCCCTTGCTCATGTGACAAGATGACTCCAGGTACTCCATTAAAACCTTGGTTAAAAACAGCAGGTGGGCAGGTGGTGGTGCATGCACACTGTAATCCTCACACTCAGGAAACAGAGGCAGGAGGATCTCTGTGAGTTCAAGGACAGCCTGGTCTCCATAAAGAGACCCCGTCTGAAAACAACAACAAACAACAACAAAAGAGCAGATTGGGCCTGTAAGTAGTAGCAGTAGCATGGGAAACGAACAAATGTGGGGCCCGACACACCTCTGGCTGGACTCTCACCTATAATGAACAGGAATAACTCGTTGCCTTCAAATGTAGACAGCAGCTTCTCCCACTGGGTCTGCCAAAAGTAGCCGGAAGCACCCCAAAATGTCTGAAGATGCCTTGGGAAGAAAATCATTCAAGTTTCTGGGAGAAGACTGGGAAGCCAGCTCTTTCGTGCTGTGCCTCTCACCCCGGAGGCCTGGAGGGAGCACACTCACCATGTGACCGAGTTCCAGAAGGCCACAGACAAGAGCAGCCCGGAGCCCAAGATGAGAGCTGTCCTCCTCATGGAGCCCCAGATGTGTCCTTCCTGCAGAAGTTGGGAGTGGCGGACCGGTCAGGCTCTTGCTGGGAGCAGGCTGTTGACCTTTCCCCGCCTGTGGAAGGCCCTTTCCCTACCAAGGGTTGTATCTGAGTGTGTTTATGAGAATCAGGATCTAGGCTGGGGGAGGGAAGAGGATTGCCCCAACTACAGCAAAACTGTTGAGCAATGCTGCAGCCCAGAGCTGGATAGGGAAGGCTTTTAAAAGCTGTTCCATGTGTGTGCCATCAGCCATCAAATGCATCCAAAGTCCCCTTTTTAATCAGCACAACTACAGTCAGGTGTGGTGGTATTCAGCTGTAATGCTGGCTCTTGAGAGGCAGAGGCAGGGAGATGGGAGTTCAAGATCAGCCTGGGCTACTTGAAACCCTGTCTCAAAAAGGGTCCCCTGACAGGTGTGCATGTGCGTGCCAGATGCCAGTCTTGGGTGCTGTTCTTCAGGAGCTGTCCACTTTGTCTTTTGAGACAGTCTCCAACAGGGACCTGAAGCTCACTAATGTAGGCCATGTTGGCTGGCCAGTGAGCCATGGATCACTGACTGTGTTTGCCTCCTAGAACTGGGATTACAGCACTGTGTTACCCAGCTTTTACATCCTTATGGGGACTGAACTCAGGTCATGTTCAGAGGGCAAGTTCTTTACTGACCAAGCCATCTCCCTAGCACCAGAACTTGTTCTCTGACGCTGTCACCCTAACTTTGACAAGCTCATTTGGGTTATTCCAGTGAATCCCTTTACGGTGTTCTAAGGACAATTCAGCAACTTTCTGGACTGTTTGTTTGTTTGTTTGTTTGTGTTTTGTTTTGTTTTTTTTAAAGATATCGTCTCACTGTGTATCTCTTGTTGACCTTCAGCTCACTCTGTAAACCAGGCTGGCCTTAAACTCAGAGATCTGCCTGATTCTGCCGCCCAAGTAGTGGGATTAAAGGCGGGGACCACCATTGGGGGATTCTTAAACTTTTGGAGTCCATAAACTGAACTGGTCAATGAAAAGTTGAATTTCAGAGCTGGGCACCGTGGCACACACCTTTAATTTCAGGATTTGGGAGGAAGAGGCAAGTAGATCTCTGTGAGTTCAAGCCCAGCTTTGAATTATATAGTGGGACTTTGTCTTAAAAATTAATAAGCAAACAAACACAAATGAATAAATATGAGTCTCAGTGGTTAAGAGCACTTGTTATTCTTGTGGAGGACCGAGGTTCAATTCCTAGGACCCACATGGCAGCTCACAACCATCCATAACCCCAGTTCAAGGGGACCTGATGCTTTCTTTTGACCTCTACAGGAACCAGGCAAGCATGTATGTACATGCAGACAAAGCACCCATACACATAGAATAGATCTTTTAAAAAATTACAAAAATTAAGACCAGCGGTGGTGGTGCACACCTTTAATCCCACCCTCAGGAAGCAGAGGCAAATGGCTCTCTGTGCTTTCAAGTTCTACATCCTGGTCTACAGATTGAGTTTCAGGGCAGCCAGGACTACACAGAGAAACCCCGTCTTGAAGAAGAGTAAAAAGAAAGAAAGGCTGAACTCCATTTACAGCATTGGATTTCCTCAGCTGGATTTCCTAATCTCTGCAGCAGGCCAGATTAAGCACAAAGGTACCCTGGGAATGCAAGGGACATGCAGCACAGGGCTGAGCTGGGTCAACGGATGTCCCTTCCTCTCTCAGAGCATGAAAGTTCTATTATCTTTTCAGATCCTGAGGCAGCCAGGATCAACATAGGGCAGCTGTGGGCTTTCCAGTTCATACCACACACACACACACACTCACGCAGGTAACCGAGTCCTTGTGTACTCATAAATGGATTTGGAGTCTGGTGCTCTCTGCCTAGTCATGTCACCTTGGAGAGCCACCCTTAAAGCCTTGGGGTTTATAAGGAACATAATAGAATCAGGGCCTGGTGGTACAAGCCTTTAATTCTAGCACTCAAGAGGCAGAGGCAGATAGAACAGGTCTCTGTGAGTTCAAGGCCAGCCTGGTCTACATAGTGAGTTCCTTGCCTGCCAGGGATATGTAGAGAGACCTTGTCTCAAAGAACAAAGAGGAACAGGGGCATATGGTGACCTGGTACCCTTAACTAGCACAGTGGCTGACAGGGGCTTACCTGGGTGGCCTTCTCGTGCCATCTTGATCCTCCCATGTCCCCTGTCATCTGGAAGGTAAAGCACAGGTTTTGGAGTCCCTGCCACATGTGGCTGAAGAGGAGACAGTGGAGCAAGTCAAGGCTGCCACCAGACAAACAGATCCTAAGATTTACACTGGGGGAATAAATAAGCAGGAAATAGCCGGGGAAAGGCCAGAAAGGAAGAGTGATGAGGCGGTTGGAGACGGGGAACGTGAGACCTTCCAACTTTGAAGGCAGAGCTTCATACAGAACTGGTTGGCGGTGGGGCTGGAGAGATGGCTCAGCACCGCTGCTCTTACAGAGGACCCAGGTTCGGTTCCCAGCACCCCCATGATGGTTCAGAACCACCTGTAACTCCAGTTCCAGGGGATCCTGTACCCTCTCCTAGCCTCCTTCGGCATCACAAGTGTACGTGGGACATACACATATGTGCAGGGTAAACAATCATGCACTTAAATCTCAGAGAAAAGGGTCTGGACTTGTGTTTGTGTTGTGGCGACTGCACAGGAGCACGGGTCTCTGCGGAGGCCATACACATTACCTGGAGGTGGAGCGACAGGGTGTTGTGGAACGCGGAGTGTAGGTTTGGGGACCTGGACTGAGTCCTCTGACAGAGGGAGCACCGCTATTGGCTGAACCAGGCTCCAGCCCTGCCCGTTCTCTTCATTGCATTTGGAAGTGCTTCTAATAGGAGTGTTTCTCAATAGCTGACTTGGAGCCCCTGCTCTCCTGGGACAGCTAGGACATGCTGAAAGGCCCACAGGGTCTGGTGCCTGCTTTGATTTGGCCTTGGCCTTGCTACTGAATATCCTGTCTGTTGCAGCTTTAATGAGCCCGTGGAAAGATACTCAGCTTCACTAACTAGAAGGGACAAAAGAGCCTGTCACCTCACACTGGTTAGGACACCTACTGTGAAAATGTAACACAGGGCTGGGGGATGTGGCTCTGCGCCTGGAATGAGCTAGCTCTTCGCTGAGTTCCATCCCCAACAGCCGGAGGGGGAGGGTCTCGGAGTTGACGGATGGATGCCTGTAACCCCAGCACTCAGGGGTCAGGAAGACAAGGAGTTCAAAGTACGAAACTTCCGAGTCTTTTAATTTGGACCCAGGTGTGCTGGCACAGAGCTGTCGTCCGATGCTGGGGGACAAAAAGGACGCCTGAGGCTCACTGGCCGGCCGGCCAGTCTGGCTAAATCAGAAAATGGAGGTTCAACGAGAGATCCTGTCTCAGAGATTAAAGTGGATGGTCTGGCACGGTGGTATGTGCCTTTAATTTTCAATTACAACATGGCAGGCAACCAGGCCACGTATATAAGGTGAAAAGCGGTTGGTGAAGAGCCCCAACTTCAGCTGTGGCCTCCATACTCATTACACATACATGTCTCTGGTAGGCACTCTCAGCATGGTCTAATTCACAGACCTAAAAAAAAAAAATTAATTAGGCTTTCTGAGACAGGGATTATCTGTGTATCCCTGGCTGTCCTGGACTCTCTTTGTAGACCAGGCTAGCCTCGAACTCACAGAGATTCCCCTGCCTCTGCCTCCCTGAGTGCCAGGATGGAAGGCATGTGCCACCATGCCCGGCTATTAGGGCCCAACTTCTGACAGGACTTGGTACTACCGAGTCACGGATTTTCCTCCCCCTTTCTGTTGATATTTAACTGTACTCTTTCAGACGGCATGCTTGGTTTCCTTTGCTGGATGCTGAGTAGCTGCCACCTCAGGAAAGCTGCTCCCCTTTGGCCCACTGCAGGCAGGAGAGCATGCTTGTCAGTGCCTGGAAGCAGCTGACATTCCCACCGAGAACGACAGGACAGTAAGCAAGAACCCACCGCCCACCTGGATCCCAGCCCATGCCAGGGGTAGCTCAGGCCAGAAGAGGGTATTCAGAATGCTTGGTGTGGGGTGGACTGCTGGGCCTGCTTATCCCCTGCCCTTGAGCAGCAACTCCCCGGAGGTGCCAGGCAGGGGTGAAGCAGCTGGTGGCAGGACCTGGCAGAGTCATCTATACCACAAGGAAGCCTCGGGATCCTCTTCAGTGGACACTCCAGAACGGAAGCACTGCTCCGAGCCTGAGACAGACTCATCTTACATCAATAAACTGGCTTATAAAGGGACCCAGAGGATTGTTTTTCGAGGCAGGGGTTTAATAGCCCAAGCCAGCATTGAACTTGACTTTGAACTTCTGATCCCTCTGACTTCATCTCCCAAGTGCTGGGAGTCAAGCCCAAGGTTTTGGGCCTGCTAGGTGTCGTCACTCATCCATCAGAACCATGTACCCAGCCCAGACATTTTCCTTTAAATCGCTGTGCTGGACTCTCTTTGTAGACCAGGCTGGCCTCAAACTTAGGAAGATCCTCCTGCCTCTGCCTCCCTGTAATTGTCTGCTGGGATTTTGGCATGCATTACTGTACCTAGTTTTTGTTTTTTTTTTTTAAACCTTATTGACCTGAGAAGTCCTTGTGATTCTACCCTGGTCTGGTCCATGTCTCTCCAAGGTCAGAGTAACTCCCTTCACAGACTTTCAGGACTCTTGCAGTCCAGGGATCTGAAAAAGTACATTGCATGAAGCCCAGGGAGGTAGGAGCCTGGAGACTTTAGGGCTGAGGCTATTGACTGTCTTGTAACAGGGAGCCAACTGTCCAAACGTCGAAACAAACACTTCAAGTTGGTGGGGTGGATGGGGTTTGTTATCTACACATCTGCAAAATGGCTGCTGACAGCATAGCCCTGGCTCACAGCTTCCTCTCTGGCGCTGATAGGCAGTATGAGGTCAGGATGGCCCTCTCAGTGGGGAAGGAGGCTGGGGATGGTTTTGAAGGTTTGCCCTTTAAGCTTCCGGAGCAACCCAGGGAACCTCCCTCACAAGTCAAAGTCTTCTCCCAGCATCTAATCAGCACCTTTATCCTCACCAAGAGCTCCTCAGACTTTTGGTGGCCTTTGATCCTTCAGAGTTCATCCACACCTTCTAGAAGCTTTTGTCAAGAACTCACTGTTCAGGGTGCTGTGGCAAACTCTGGAGGGATAAACCTGAAGAAGAACTTTCAGTTCAGGCCCATAAGCCCATCCTTCCCAAAATCGATTTCAGAAGAGCCACTCTAGAGGTCTGCGGATGTGCGTGAGAGACTGAGGGTCAGTGTCAAGGACAACCTCGCCTGCATAGTGAATTCCATGCCAGCCCGAATACATATTAAGATCCTCGATGGGCGCCCTGTTACTTGCCTGTAACCCTAGCACTCTGGGAAGCAGAGGCAGGCAGATCTCTGTGAATTCCAGGCCAGCCTTTTCTACAAATAGAGTCCAGGACAGCCAAGGCTACACAGAGAAACCCTGTCTCAAAAACAAACAAAAGCGATGAATTAAAGGTGAATTAATAAATGACTTCTAAAACTAGTGGACCTGAGCTAAGAAACTGCTGAGGAAGACAGAAGCCTTGAATGCCCAGGGCTCTCCCTGCCCTGAGACACGTGTCTCTAAACTCACAGTGAACTGTTTGATCCCAGATGGCTTGCCTCAAACTTAAGATTCTCTGGCTTCAGCCTCCCAGGTCCTCCTGGGATTTTGGTGTATACAGCGGAAGCTGAGCTTCAGTCAGAACATATATGTTTTCCAGTCAGGATTGAAAGGGCGGCGGCTGTAGCTGAGTAGGTAGAGTGCTGACCTAGCGTGCATGAGGCCCTGGGCTTGATGCCCAGCGCTGCATAAACTAGGAGGAGTGGGCATTTCTGTGAACTCAGCATTTGGGAGTGGGGGAGGGGGGTTGATAGTTCAAGGTTATCCTCGGTTATTTAGGGAGTTTGAGGCCTGCCTGTGCTTCAGGAGACCTCCGCGTCAAGAAGGTGAACGTGGTGACTGCCACTAGAGCTATTCCTTTTTGCCGTTAGCAGTTTCCATGGAGACGAGGCACACCCTCCAGGGACACAGCACTCCCCTCTGGAAGCTCTCCGTGGGGTGCAACCGAAATCCACATTTCTTGTGATTTATGTGTTTGCACCGTGTGCATGCTTGGTGCCCATGGAGTTGAGAAGGGGGTGAAAGAACCCCTGGGACTGGAGTTAGGGAGAGTTGTGGGCCAGCATGCAGGCGCTGGGAACCAAAGAATGTGGCTCCTCTGCAGCAGCAGCCGATGCTCTTAACTGTTGAGCCATCTCTCGGGTCCCTCCAGGTTTTTGTTTGTTTGTTTGTTTGTTTTTAATGTCTACGTTTTTCATGTGTCTGTGAGTGTGGGTGCGTGTGAGATCAGCGTTGGTGTTGCTCTTCAGCCTCCTCCTTGCTTGAGACACAGTCTTCGCCAACCACTGGGCTGCCCACCTTGTGTCTGCCTCCCCTCTCCTTACAGGAGCGCTGGAGTCACAGACACATAGCACTGCAGCTGCTTTTATATGCGTTCTGGGGGTTCATGTTCAGGTCCTCATGGTTTTCTAGAAAAGGTTTTCACCTTCTGAGTTGTCTCCTCAGTCCTTGGACAATCTCACTGTTACCCTCTTGTTTCCTTTGGAAAACATGAAGCTTGGAATTAAAGCAATATTCCATTGCGCTTCTTATTATTTTAAAATTTATCTTATTTATATGCGCACTGCAAGCCTGCCTTGCTGTACTTTTTTAAAATAATGTTTTTGTCTTATATGTATGGGTGGTTTCCCTGTGTGTGTCTGTGTATCACACGCCTGCCCGCATTGTACTTCTTGAGATTTTTGTTCTCTAACATAATCTTGTTTTTTGTTTGTTTATTTTTGAGACTGGGTTTCTTTGTGTAGTCCTGATTGTCCTGGAACTCGCTCTGTAGACCAGGCTGGCCTCAAACACAGAGATCCACCTGGCTCTGGCTCCTGAGCACGGGGACTAAAGGCGTGCACCACCACTCTAGCCTAACTGTGAAATCCTGACATAGGAGCCAGGCGCAGTAACACTGCAAGTTCAAGGGGCTGGAGAGATGGACTCTCACTGCCTGCGCCCACATGGTAGGAGAGAATGCACATCCAGCGGCTGAACTCTGAACTCCAGCTCGGCACACTCACACATTCTCTCTCTCCACTCTCCCATATCACATAAAGAAATGAATAAAATGTAGCTTAAGAGAATCAAAAGAGGCAGGGGAGATAGAGGGCCTGTTTAAAAGCATGTACTGCTTGGTTCCTCGTGCTCACAGTATGTGGATAATACCTGCTATTAACTCCAGCTCCAAAGGACCTGACACCATCTTCTGACCTCCACAGGGTAGATTTTGTTTTGGTTTTTCTTTTCTTTTTAAATTTTATTTTACATATATGAGAGCTCTATTTGCATGCACACCTGCATGCCAGAAGAGGGCATCAGATCTCAGTATAGATGATTGGGAGCCACTAGCCATCCATGTAGTTGCTGGGAATTGAACTCAGGACCTCTGGATGAGCAGACAGTGCCCTTAACTGCTGAGCCATCTCTTTACCCCCTGGTTTTTGGTTTTTCCAGACAGGGTTTCTCTGTGTAGCCTTGGCTGTCCTGGCTGTCAACTGCTTCCAGACACTAACTGATAGGCATGCTCTCCTTTCTCTGGGCAAGGTAGAACACGCCTTTAGTTCCAGCACTCAGGGAGGCAGAGGCAGGTGGATTGATGTGAGTTTGAGGCCAGCCTGGTCTACAGAGCAAGTTCCAGGTCAGCCAAGGAGACACAGAGAAACCCTGTCTTCAAAAACCAAACCATATCACTCCTGGCATTCACCCAAAGGACTCTATCCTTGATATCTCAGTGACTGTTCTACCATTGTGGGGAGACACCATGACCAAGGCAACTTTTAAAATAAATATTTCATTGGGGCTTGCTGACAGATTCAGAGGGGTCAGTTCAGGATTGTCGTGTGTGTGTGTGTGTGTGTGTGTGTGTCTGAAGTCAGGCAGGCATGGTGCTGGAGAAGTAGCTGAAAGCTCACTTCTGATCTGCAAGTTGCCCGCCCCCCAGTGACACCTTCCTTCTAACCTAACCGGGTCACTCTTCCCAATCCTTTACCAATAGTTCCACTAACTAGGGACCAAACATGCAAAAATGGCCTGTGGGAGCCATCCTCATTCAGATCACCAAACCCTACCGCAGAGATGCTTGTGCGTCCGTGTTCACTCCTATCCTTCTCACAATATCTAGGACATGGGATCAGCTTAGATGTCCATCAGCAGATGAGTGGATAATGAAAATGTGGTGCCTACACAGGATGGAATTTTGTCCAGCCATAACGAGAAAGTGATATTATGAGGTTTGCAGAAAAATGGATGAATTTGGAAAGGATTATGCTGTGAGGTAATCCAGTCTCAGAACTGCATGTTCTCTCTCAGATGCCACTCCGTGTGTGTGTGTGTGTGTGTGTGTGTATAGATGATGGAACCAGATAGGAGAACACCAGAGGGGAAACTGGGCACACAAAAACACAGAGCACCAGAGAGCAGAGA